ATCATATAATCGCATGAATAATTAATATAAAAGGATACTTTCTAACAAGAAACAGTAAACAAGATGAACAGTAAACATAATGAATTATTCTTATTTGACAATATTAAATAAAGATAAAATGATTCACTGTGTTACATTGTGTCATCTGTGTCTCTTGTTGGAAAGCATTTAAAATAATTGGAATAATCACTGCACTGCAATTAAAACCATTATTGGTCAAATATTGGCACGATAAGACAACCCTTAATAGCCTAACATTTTTTATCACGTTTGGCCAGTATAGTTACCCATTATCGGGCTGAAATTATCATCCCATAGTATTCATTAGTGAGCCAGTCTTGCCATTATCGCGCCAATAGGCCTGGTAACCAATTTTGGGCCAGTATCGGACCAATACTAAAATCCTATATGGTTGTAACGCAATGAATTATGGAAACCATATCGTTCACATTGTGCGGAACTCTACATAATAACATGATCATATCATAGAATTTATTAATATCGCGACCTTCTCGTACGGTACATCAGAAAAAGAATTAAAGTTAACATCCGTCAAGTTCGCATTAGATCTTCCATTAGTACATTACAGTTCAATTTTTAATGTATGGTATTTAATTGTTAAATGTTGAGTGATAATAGTGTGTCTTTATAATATTCTTCTGTATCCTTTTTCCTGTGAACGTAAACCTCTTAATAAATATGAAGTCTATTTTTATAAGATAGCATCAAACTGTTTCCATAAAATAAATGAGGTGTATGTACGATTGTATAAAAAAAAACAACCTAACATAACAAAACAAATTTATAAGCTGCTCCATTTTGAGATACATTGTAGTTTTTATGATTCTCAACAAATGTCTTTTATATCATATCCACAGAAAATTAACGGGTTAAAAGATGGAGCTCTGAAGTTACAGAATCTATGGCTATATCTTTAAGATAACTAAAGATGTTCTCTTTTATGTGTAATAGATCGGCGTACGCATATATTCTTGAATGTGAATAGTACGGTGTGTATGTGTGTGTATGTGTGCGCTGCACGCGCGCGTGCGTGCGTGGTGTATGTGTTGGCATGTTGTTTTTTCTACGTATATATATGTTGCGAGTGCGTCGTGTTATGGATGTATATGTGTCTACGCACGCGCGTGAGTGTGTGGTATATGCATGTGCGCATGTTGCATGTGTTGAATGTTGCGCGTGCGTCGTATTCCGAATGTGCGCGCGCGTGTGATGTATACGTGTGTGTGTGTGTGTGGGGGTGTATATGTGTGTGTGCATGTTATGTGTATGCACGTGTACATATGTATTCAGGTAGCCAAGTCTATAGAAAGCAGATTTCTTTAATACCTGCTACACACTATGCCAACAAAATAACAAGAGAATTATTACAGAATTAGATGCACATAATAATGTTAACAGACTGCTAGAAAAAAATGAAACAGAATCTGCAAGCAGAAGTAAATGACAAACTGGAGAAAGAAACAGAGCAGATTTGTGGTATAATCTGATAGTATACTATCTACAGAAACCAAGCAGATCCTGTCGACATCACCTAGCACTATAGACTGTCAGCAGAAACGACGCAGATCCTGTTCTGACACGATTTGATAGCAGATTCTGGGACAATCTGTCGACAAGCAATTATCAATTATAAATTTCTGTCGACAATCTGCTGTCAGGTCGTGTCAGAGCAGGATCTACGTCGTTTTTGCTGACAGTTTAGCGTCAGATAATGTCGGCAGAACCTGCTCAGTTTCTGCCAATAATTTGCCTTCACATTATGTCGATGAACAGAATTTAATGCGAACACAGTTGATAATATAGATTGCCGTCATTTTCTGCTCAAATCTGCTGACAGTCTGTTAGAAAACTGTAGACATTTTGCTATTTGGATATGTAATGTATGTACATATGCATGATGGCGTGTATTGCATGCGTGTGTATATGCGCATATGCATATAAGACATTCAAGAATGTATGCTTATGTACATCTATTACACATAAAAGAAAACATCAAGTTATCTCAAAGAGATATAGATTACTCAGATTCTATGACTTCAAGATTCCATATCTTTTTATCCTCTAGTTCTCTGTAGATGTGACAAAGAAAACATTAATTGTTAAGAATCATAAAAACTACAACATATCTCGAAATGGCATTAAACCAGCTAAACTTTCCATACAAAATGTATGAATTTTACTTATACAAATATAAGCATTTCATTTTTATCTCTTTTATAGAAAAACTCTACAATAGCTCATAAAAATAAACTTTTCATATTTATTAAACTAAGAGATTTACACATAAGAAAAAAAAAATATATATATATAAGCTTGTATGAAGCAATAGTTTTAGTTTCAATTTTAGTCCAAAACTATATTGCTTCATATAATACATTCGAAATTGCACTGTAATGAAATACTAACAACAACCGTGATCAACAAAATTATATGATAATTGTGATCAAATTGTATGGAAATGACTTCTATGCAAATATTGACCATGGTTGTTGCAAGAGAATAAAAAGATAAATGTATAACATTAGCCTTTTCTTGGCATAATTAAACAATTGTCAAAAAAGAAGAGAATGGCATATGGGAAATGGACCAGATATGTATATAAAAAAAGCGAGTAATATACGAGCAAAAATTTAACAGATTACACTCTTAAGTTATAATTTCAACTGTTATATTAGTTTATGTTTTCTAACTATTATAATTGAGATGTATAAAGAGAGATGTGTATAAAGACTTTTTAACTGAAGAGTTGTACTAACTTTAGATTTGTATAAATGTATGAAAAATCAAAAACTTACCTATAAGCTTTTTCAAAACATGACTGCCTGGTTGCGATTCAAGTCCTTGAAAGTCAAAACCGTTAAATTCTTCGGAATCTTCGGAGCTGACGGTTTCAAGATCCGCGAGTTTGCGTTTGCGTCCCCTCGTTCCAGGCGTTTTCGCCGCATTACTCTCCATAGCATCCGTGGAGTCGGCCTTGGATCTTTTCATCCTTTTACGGGGCAGCAACATGCTACGTTTTTTGAGTGAGCCAACTTCACCGTTGAGCTCCTGTGCGTCTCCGTTACCACCAGCCGTCGATTGTGTTTTGTCGCTGGAATCCGGTCGATCTGGCGTCTCCGTCGCACTATCAACACCAGCACTACCGTCGCCATCACCAGCGAGGTTAGGATTCTCGCGCGGTACTTCGGCGTTCCCGCCATTCACGTTTGCGCCGTCCATCGCGGAGCCAAACGATCACGTCTCGTCAATTACTGTTTTGTATGTTATCAATAATAGTCGATAATCAATGTTCGCTTCGTACCTTCACTCCGATATCGTCAAATAAATCAGCGATTATACAACTAACACCACAGCTACTCGGACTAAACCCGTTTCGCTCTCCTTCTGCGTCTATCTCTACCTCTCCCTCCCTCTCTATTCGTACACTCGTATACATTGAGCACAGAAAGTACAGTTCCCTCGCGACCTTTGGTCGAAAACAATAAGGCTGGTATCCCATGAAATATATTTGCCGCGTATCGCTCAACCGCGTAACCAATCAATGATCAGTAAAACGCGAAACCACAACAGCAGATCGTTTCTGATTGGTTACACAGTTACATGATACGCGGTAAATATGCTTTATAGGATTCCAGTCTGAGGATGATGTCCCATGCAGCGAATCGTGCGTAAGCGGATTTATCGTTAATCACAGAATTATTCTCTTCCGCTTGCGAAATTTGCAAACAGATCTAAGAAAATGATTCTGTGATTGGCGATACGCGAATCCGCTTACATCACCCTTAAGGTGCCGTCTCATGATGCGTATCGCTGTACGCGTGTATTCGCGTCTCAAAGGATCCAACCAATCACTGACGATCCGCCGTTACATACGTAACAATTGTGTCCTCAATATGTCCTCCATGGAGCGATTTGTGCGTAAGCAACGATTCTGTGATTAGCGGATCGCCAATCACAGAATTGTTCTCTTAGATCTGTTTGCAAATTTCGCAAGTAGATTTAAAAGAATGATTCTGTGATCGGTGATACGCTAATTCATTTACGCACGATCCACTGCATGAGACATCATCCTAAGCAGCGGGACTCGCGGCGAAAGAACTAAACGTTCATCTTATATGATAGAACGCGTAACTGAACTGGCCGTGCTACTTGTTAGGAGAACAGTACAGAATAGATTTCGATTGTGGGCGTGATCTATTATACAGTAGGCTCAAAGTAGAAATCGACCAATTATAAGTCGAACTCCATTACAGGGGCAGGTTCAGATTCCCACCTGGGTACTCCCCGGATATGTTAATTATCCAATATCAACCTGTTTACCGAATGTTAAACAAGGATGACATCCGAGGGTATCTGGATAGGAATCCGGACACGCCTCTAGTGCTGACTCACTGTACGTGTTTGAATTCCCACTCGGCTACTCTCATGTCATCCTTGTTTAACATGTTCGGTAAATAACAAGGATGGGTAGCACTTGGGTGGGAATCTGAACAATTAGCTATTGTAGACCATTAATCTATTTCTAGTTCTAAAGATTAGAAAAAGACGAAGAATAAATTGAACCGAGATTAAAGTTAATTTTGATGGAAACGTCTTCCCTGATGGAAATTTTTTCCTGAATTGTAATGAATAATGATAAAATATTACTGAAATTGTAATAAAAAATGATGAAATATTACCGAAATTTACTGAATTCCATACTGAAATCTACCAAAAATAGGCTGGTAAAATAATAATTTTTTTTTAAATGTTATTTTTTTTTAAATAATAATTTTTTTTTTTAAATGAAGAAAATAAAGTAATTTGATATAAGAACATTTAGTTATTAACTCTTATGAAAATAAAAATCGGAAAAATGAAAACATCAAAATGTGAAAGAAGTATAAATGTTTCTTTTACATTTCATTGTTCCAATTTTCGCCTTCTAGAAATTTCGTTTACGCTTTTGTTACTCTCCCATTACATCCGATTTATGCTCCGATTTTTATTTTCATCAGGGAAGTTTCATCAGGGAAAAACGCTTTGTTAACTAAAATTCTCATGTTGATACTATATATTGATGTAATAATTAGACAACCAACATCGTTTAAGGCAGGGACGATTTACAAACACATACATTAGGCGCGAGCAGTATCAAACTTGGATCCGCGGATTGTAAATCCGCGAACTGACCATGGAGCTCGATGCCTTACAAATATACATATAAATATAAAAATTTATTTTCTTTCTCCTTCTCCTCAGTCCTGTAGTCGCTCGATTCTGAAAATAAAAAAAGCAATTTTTAAAAATAAGAAAAGGGGAAAAAGAAAGTGTCGGTAGAGAATTCAACCGGTGATGTAGCTAGACAAAGACTACCGAGATCAAATAGTTTAAAGGCTTAGGACGCTCGCAAGAGATCCGAGTTCGACTCCCAGCCGAGATAATATTTTTCGCAATAAGAATTAATTATTTACAGATTTTAATATGTCATTATTATTAACATCGTTTCAAAGATGTGAATAAGCATCAAAAATTTGTTAAATTGCTAGTATATTTAACTCGTGATATTACTGCGGTAGTTTAGCGGAGTTAGTTTAAAAACCGAAAAATCATATTGGTGCGCGTTTCTAAGTACTATATAGTATATAAATTCATAAGAATCATACAAGCATTTAAGATCTAGCTAGATTATTTAAGACTTTGATATCTATAGATATATTAGTAATTTACTTAAGAATAAAAAATCTGACAGTAATTATTTGAAGCTGTTACTTACTATTGCCTATTAATAGGCAGTCATCTTGAGAGCTCGATAATAATAAGTAACATAATAATAAGTAACTTTAAATAATTACTGCCAGATTTTTTATTCTTAAGTACAATTATGCATCTCTATTTATTTATTTTATATATAATATTTAAATTTATTTTATATAAAGAGTGGTACAGTGATCTGAAATATCCGGTATATGAAAGATTAAATAATTGAAATACTCACATTATCAAGTTGTCACTTTGAGTTTTGACTGTATAGTCTTCTCAATCAGTTGTTTCTTCTCGCATTTGTAATCCACTGAGGTAGAAGCATCTCACTTTCTTTTAACATCTCGAATAACTTCCTTTTCAGAATCGTTGAGTTTAATAGGTTTTTTAAAGAATGTGAAATTGTCAATGGTCAATTCCTTCGAATTAACTGTAAAATCACAATTTTAATATATCTGTCCATGTAGCAAACTGACATAATCTGTCATCATTTGATGTATACTTATACATTCGTGTCTGTCAGAGATATATTTTTCTAATTTTAAATTATTTCAAATATTTCATTTACGTTTAAATAAAAAATAAAAAGATTTAAAAACGATTCGTCGTGACCTAAAATTACGATTTTCTCGAAAAGTACGCAAAAGTGCAATTTACTGCGTTACAATAATTATTTTTTGGTGCTCCAGAATTATCACGTAAAAGTTGATCAAAATCCATGATATACATATGTGAAGTCTCTCCTTGTTAGTTAAAAAAGTTAATTTTTTAATTTAGTTCAAAAAACTTGAAATCATGAAATAAAACAATTTAATTTTTAATTTTTCAATTACTTCTTTTCATTAATTTCACTTTTAATTCAATTAATGTCACTAATTAACTTTTATCTTAATTAACTTTTATCTTAACTAAGTTAAATTTCAAAGCTATTAATTTTAATTTAACTCAGTTAAATAAAAAATTAACTTACCCAACCCTGTATATTGTAAATAATATATCTCGATTTTTTATATAAACAAGACATCAAATTTTTCACATATTGTTAAAAATTACATTTTATCTTATGTTTATCTATGCACAATCAATTTCGCTTACGTACTTTCGACAGAATCACATTTTCTTTTCTTCTCTTCTCACGTTCAATGGAATGCGATGGAATATTTCTCTTCGCTTTTCTGAAAATCGGACGTCTCATATAAAGCACGCGATGCAAACGAAATCAAGACTTGTTCCAACATTTGCTCCTTTTCCCATTGTGACAGCAACTGGTAAACCTAGTTAAGCAATGCACTATCTTAGTAAACGAGAATTATACGATATTTCTCTTTAATTACGCTTCGAGACACACTTCGTCGGAGCTATTGCGTCATTTTATGCTATATTTTGCCAGAGTTTTATTTTAAACATATGAAAAAGAACCTCAGTCAAATGCATCATTATACATGGAAAAATAATACATCTGGATTTACAATGTAGCTATCTACGCGAGTTTATACTATAATTTCAAATGTACATACAATGACTATATATTTTGATGAAAAATATATTAAAATATCAGTAAAAGAAAGATGACGGAGGCCGAATTGGAGTGAAATGTCACCACCAATATAAATATATATATATATTTTTTTAAATTTTCGAATTCAAGTAAGAAAATTGAGTAAGAAAAAAAATACTAAGTTTGAATAGTCACTAATTACAATGGCAATTACTTGACACTGGATAATCAGTAAAGTTCAACTAAAAAAGGAAGAATGTTTGAGCATTATATAATTAAAACACTATATATATTTGCACTATATATTTGCACATTAATTTGAATCTTCCAATACCATATTTATTGAATTTATGCATTAAAACAAGATTAGTTAAATCACTTAATTAATATCACTTAAATCATTTAATAAAGATTAGCTAGATTAGAGACTCATCTCACATTTCATTCACTGATTACTAGTGGCATACTTGGCACTGATATCAGTGATTATCCACTAATACAGATTTAGTAAACACAACAATTCCTGCGTGCTCCCCAAATTAAAATACAACTCCTTTGTAAAATTTGTAACAACGACGCTCAATTGAATAAAATCATTCGCATGAAGCGCATGATGTATTCGTCTTTGTTGTTAATCAATTAATAAAGAAGGATAAAATGATACATCATGCGCTTCATTCATAACTCGTAACGCACCCATAGTGATTAAACAATACCCGCAGACACATTTAATCTCAGCTGAACATAACATTGATTTTTTCCATGAAATCTAATGCTATTTGCTATAAAAAGTCATAAGGTAATTCTTATGATATTACACTTTAAATTTTTAAAAATATATATATGTTAATTAACCTCGCACATTTAATTTGTTAACGATATCGGGCAATAGACGGCTGTCATAATGATTCGTTATACGCATTGGACTGTTCTCTGAAAATGTTTGCATGTTCTGCAAACCATCGAATCAAAAGTGTTGTAACATCATTGTCCACTATTATACACACGGCATCACTAATGCCTAAACATCTGAATTTGCAGAAGTATCGAGGCATGTTCAAAACGCACGTTCCTTTCTTTCAGGCATTATGACTAATGATTATTTGAATAATGTAATACGTAAAATTAAAATTGAACTAAATTTAAACTAAACATAAACTAAACTAAATTAATAATTTAAACTAAACGTATAATTTACAAATAAATTAATAATTTATTAATAAAACCGCTATTAGACACAATATATTCTGTAATTCTTCCTCATAAAAGAACAATGTGAAAAGTGGTAACATAAACTTAAAATTGAACTAAATTTAAACTAAATATAAACTAAAATTTAAAATTCATAAATAAAATTAAACTAAAAATAATAGAGGATATATCTTAAACATTCTAATATTGCATCTACGCAGCGATTAATTGCAATTTACTTCTGCGAGACGCACAATCAGGATTATTATCAAGATTATTTTTACAGAAATAAATTTCTACAATATGAAAAAATTTGAAAGAAGTTATGAAAATAATCGCATTAATCATCGAGAATTAAACATATTGGGTTATCAAGTAATATTGAATAATTAATATATTGTATAATATTTTTGCAGCAGCATTAGGCAACAAACATTCGGATGACTCGTCTTCTATTTGCGAAATTCGCATTCCAAAAACTGTTAATGTTTCGAAATATCAGTTCGATAGTGACGATCCTAATCAGATCAAACATTTTCCAAACTTAAGGGAAGAAATTCGTGTAGAATTTTTAGCTACTTACTTGAATCAATCCTTCTTCCTCAAAATGTACTAATAAAACCACCTGTTTTTCTTTTCGAGCAACTACAAAGGAACTGATAGGAAGGACAACAGAAACGCGTGTTTATACCTGCGGGTACAGCGCCGCCATTAATAGCTCTATAGCTGCTTTAAATTTTCGAATTCAGTTCTGCTTTGATATTTTGTTCTATATGTTATATATTATTGATTTATAAAAAAAACAATTTCGATTTTTTTCAACTTTCTACATAAGTTTCCCCCCTTAAATAACATCAATAATATCGAGAAATTCAATAAATGAAAATTTTGTGCCAAGAGCGAACACTAGATGCAAGAGGAAGTTTAAAAGAATTGCTGTTTACTTACAATTGATTCCGACTCTAACGCGTCCACTTCTCAAGCAGTGGCAATTTTATCGACTTTAACATTCGATGGAAAAAAAACACAATTTTGTTTGGGAATGTAGCCTTATTTATCTTTATTTAGCTTTATCTATCGTGAATGAACGGTGAGGCGTCTATCGTGAATCGACGGTGTATGTTTTTGTGTGTTTCTTTCTATCAAGGACGGGTTCTCATGAAACGATCAGCAATATTGCCCGCTCACATGCACCGAATGAAACGTACCGTTCGTTGTACCTTTCGGCGACGTGCAAGCATACGTTACAGTGGAAAATAGTTCGTCGAGCCGACAGCTCTCGTTTACTTGACGTTCGACGATCCTCTCTTTTTATCTATTTCATTATTGATCGACAGAGTGGACCAGGTTTGACAATGAGACAGTTTTGAGGCGAGACTCATGGACATTACTTGTAAGAGGTGAGCGGCAGGATGTTACGTATTGTCACACGCTGACGAAAGTTAAAAGCCGACGCAATCGCGATTTGTTTTGACCCCCTCCTCGACGATTGACGTATCGCGGATACGTCCCGATGGGCACCTCTTTTTGGTGTCACATCTGTGTGTCCTCGTAGCCCGTTTCGAGACGCTAACGAGATCGGTTGTCACATCCCTATCCTCGAGAATGGATCGCGGATTAATCGCGTCACTTATCCGGCACGGATCCACGCCGTAGAAACAATACCTAATCAGATGTGAATAAGCAACTCGTGAATAAGCGTATTTCTCGCGGACAGAGTCGCGGAATCGACGCCGCGAATTAATTATCAAATTAATTATCGTGATTAAGAAATGCACGCGTATCGCGTGTCAATCGTGATGCGGGTCACACAGCTGTAATTTTATGTATTTTAGAGTTAATAAATTTGCATTATAAAGACATGATTTTTCGAGATAATAGAATGAACCAGTCGCCATGTAAATTTGCGTCGCGTACTGATACTCATGATAATTATATGCGATTACCGGACATACGGGATCAGTCGAGTAAAAGACATAACGTTTGCCTGATGTTTGTTTTACAGTAAAAAACGCGTCCTTCAAATGGAGCGTGTTCTGAAAGCTGTACCGGCGGATTTAAGAGTAAAAATGGAGGCTCTTGTGCACGATTTGACTTTGGCACTGGAAGAGAGCAGCAACAGTGCGAATCTCAGACGTAGATGGGGTATCAGAAGGAGAGCCCGCTCGACAGGGAATATTCGTAAGTGTAAGAGAGAACAATTCGATGTAACAGGTCTGTTTTTTCAGATGAACTTCATGACTGTGGTCCGATTCACTTTCACAACGCTCAATCAAGATTTTCACTCGCAGCATCATTTGTCCTTAGGTCTGTTTGTTATTCCCATATTAAATTGCACTAAATTAGCGCAATTTAGTATATTCTATAGTAAACCCATTTTACTAATGTAATTTAATTTTAATCTCGATTTAATTAATTCATTTCTAATTCTAAGAATTATGGCTAGTATTCATATTCAATTCTTATATTTAAGACTCTTAAGTACAATCTTAAGATGACATGAATTAATCAGAAAGTTCTACTAATTAGAATATTCATAATTCGTTCTTATTTTAAGTGCTAACACGAACACATATAGCTTTCTGCTATATGTGTCTTCTGTGATTGCCTTGACACCTTAAGACTGTATTTAAGACAGTCTTAAAAATAAGTATCGACTACGAATACTGGCCACAGAGCCATATTATTAGCATCTTAAGACATTACTTAACTCTTAGATACTTAGATACTTAAATACTTAGATACTTAGATACTTAAGTGGAATAACTTGGACCCTCCTATGATAATTTTGCTTTAATTTTTGTTCCAATGAAGTTAGCAATATATAATAATAGCAATAAAAAAGTTTTTAGTATCATTTTTTGAACTGTCTAACATTTTAGAAACACTTATGACGCTAAATTTCAAAGAAAATTCTGGGAGATCTAATTTAATTCAGTTCATTCATTGATTTCATTATTAAGTATCTAAAGATTAAATCAAGATTAAAGTTAATTTATAATTGGTAGAGAAATAGACATTAGAATTAAAAAGTAAAAAAATATAGTGAGAAAAGTTGAATTTGAGGACAATATATTGCAAAAATAAAGAATGGCAAAAAACTTTCTTTCTGTCATGAAATATATATCTATTTCACTTTAAGTTTCAACAATGTACACTAGTTCAACTATAGAAAACAGACTTTTAGTTTAACGTTTGATAAACAATAAGGATGAATTTATTCAAGAGCATCGTGAACGTGGATCGAATTGTAGTTCTTGCATGGTTAATTCATATTGGAAGAAAAAAAGGGAAAAATAAATCTACAGATATTTATATAAAAAGAACAGGCCTATTAAAAACTTTAAAAATTAAATATTCCATTCAACTAAAAATAATAGAGGGTGTATCTTAAGCATTCTAATTGCACCTACGCAACGATTAATTGCAGTTTACTTCTGCGTGACGCACAGTCAGGATTATTATCAAGATTATTATCTTTGTAAAAATGAATCTCTACAGCATGAAAAAATTAAATATTAATCGCATGTAAACATCGAGAATTAAAGTAATGTATTGAGTTATCATGTAATATTGAACAATTAATATATTGTATATTTTTGCAGCGGCGTTAAGTATGAACAAACATTCGGATGACAGCTCATCTTCCATTTGTGAAATTCGCATTCCAAAAACTGCCAATGTTTCGAAATATCAGTCGGATAGTGACGATCCTAATCAGACCAAACGTTTCGCACATTTTCCAAATTTAAATAACATCAGTAATATCGAGAGCGACTCGGTAAATGAAAATTTTGTGCCAAGAGCGAACACCAGACGCAAAAGGAAGTTTAAAAGAATGGCAATTGATTCCGATTCTAACGCGTCCACTTCTCAAGCAGTGGCAATTATGTCGACTTCAACATTCAGTGGAAAAAAACGTATCTTTCGAAGTGATTGTAAAAATAGATATAGTGCTATATGGTAAGGAAATACAATCCAATTATTTTCTATTTGCAATAAGAAACAATGTACAGAGATTGCCTAATTTTACATTTCAGGTGCGGAAAACGTAAGAGATCGTGCAGGGAACGTTCGATAGATTGTGAAATGAGAGTAGCTAAACCAACCAAAAATGCAAAATCGAAAAATCGAGATAAAATGCAAGGCGAGGATACAGTGGATTGTTCCCGCTTATCTAGTTCCAGCATTTCGTCCAGTGATTCAGAAGCAGGTCTTATTACAAACGATGAAGATAGAGAAGGTATGATGAACTTGAAAGAGAGAGAGAGAGCAATACTGAAGCCCGATTCCATCAATATATGATTAACTTTAATTTTAATTTAACTTTTATTTTTCATCTTTTTCTAATTCTAAAAATTAAAAAGGAATGAAGAGTTTAAATTCTAGAACTGAACTTGAATATGTAGAATCATCACGCAGTGTATATTATAAATTATATATTTAATTCTTGCAGGAGACGATGAACAGTCTGATTGGATCGGAGAATCGAGTTGGCGGGACGACGGAGAGAGCACTAGCGACGACAAAGCCACGTCGGATTCAACCTTCCAAATGATATTACACGGCGAACATTCGGTTGCAGAGGCCAAGAAAAATTATAGACAAAGAATACAACGCATTCGCGAAGGCCTCAGCGGTAGAGAGATCCGTGCTGGACGACGTCACGTCGATAACAAGCCTGGTTATTCTATTATAACGTCAGCTAATGAGAAGGTTTCTCGGTTTCTGCAAGATCCCACGCAGAGCGAGCTGAAACTCCATCCTATGCGACAACCTGAACGAGAGAAGCTACGTCGACTCGCCAATTTGTATAGTTTAAGTATGAAGGGCGATCAAGGCTGTCCGATACTGTATAAAACGCGACATACCACACAGGCCGTATGCGTAGATCAAGTATCTTTGAATAGATTCTCAGACTACAAAAGATTGCGTAAAACACCGCCAAATTCCCCAAATTCAGATTCTACGATGCAAACAGAGGAGCCACAGATTTCCAGCACGAGTTTCAGTCCACAAATTTTAAATCAAGCGCAAAGTAATATTGGCTCTATACAAGCAAATGTACAAACATTATCTTCATTTGAATGGGAAAGCGAAAGTATGGACGTTGAAGTACAAGGAAAGCCGAAATTTCCTGATTTTGGACATTCCAAATCTAGTTAAATATATATTTATATATATATATATATTTCATTGTTATTTTTTCTAAACATATGTGTATGGCATATACACATGTATGTAAGTTTTCTGTATAAACTCTTTATTTTACTATTAGAATTGGAAATGTTTATATTCGTAATAATCATATGACGTAAAGAAATTCTACAAGAACTGTAATATAAATAAGTACTTTACTGCTTTTAATTAATAAATTTATAATTATTCATATATTATCGTAATTTATTATTGTAAAAATTGTAATATTTATATGCAATTGTTATAAAACTGGGAAAAATTATAGTATATATGTAAGACTAATGGTTCAGGATCAAATTCACTTCCATATTCATATTTAATAAAACAAGTTTACTTATTTTAACATATACATTAACTCCATCACTTTCATAATTTACATGTTTGAGATTTAAAAGCCATTCTACATTGGTCGTATTGTAGATGTCACAAGTCACAAGCTTGCTTTAGCCAATCCGATGCTTCAATTTTAAAGTCACATGATGCTCACAATGCTTTCGACTATGATACAACCAATGTAGAATGGCTTTTATATTACAATATAGTATAATGAATAATCATTTACTGTACAATGTTTTTTAATTTTAAAATATAATATTTTGATCTTGAATAAATATCTATTAGATATTGAATAGATCAGACTACAGAAAGGTTAAGAAATTTGCAAATGTTTGTTGTAATTTTATGATATTATAGTACAAAGATTCTGATAGACGTTCATGACAAGATTATTTTTCTTATATTTTTTCTAGTTAAGTCAATTTATCTGACCCTGTCTTTTAGCTGCCAGAATATTTTCATTAGCAGTTATTTGAAACTCTTGAAAACGTTGAGATATCCTCTGGTTCATTTTCAAATATTTTTCCATACAATTAAGGGCACATTTTTCTTCTTTGGCTCTGATTTCTCGCGTAGTGAAGTCAGATATGCAGTCGACAAAGCAAATTTCAGAAAGCTTATTATACGAGGTTAAAAAGTCTCGAAACTGTTGAATATAAATAATATTCAGGTTATATTATACATGTAACAATTTATCTCATTGAAGATGCACACACATATATATATATATATATATATATATATATCTCAACGCTAGTATACTTTTAGTCAGTTTATGGAATACCTAAACTAATATTCAAGAAATAATACTAGAAATACGTACAGATTTAATCTGATCGGCATCCACGTCGGTCGGGACTTGCATCGCCATTGTCAAAGATTAATATTTACACAAAATATTTTTGTTAGTTTCTGCTTTTTTGTGTTTCCATAAATATCGTATTTAATTGCACCAGACCACACCAAATTCCGGCAATTTTGAGGTTAGGACAAACCAGACAAACACGTGCGCACGATATACGCATACAGTTACGATGTAGGTTTGGAACGCTGAAAAATAAAACAATGACGGAAATGAATATTCGCTGGATGCGTGACACTCTCGCCACCTATCGGTCGTAAAAAAGCAAGCGGTGTAGTTAACTCCCGTGTACTCTCTACTGTCGTCTAAGCTGCTTTTTAGTCTCCATTTTTATAGATATTCAGTGTTTTTATTGCAAAACAAAACAACGATCTTCAGTCTTTTTTTTTTTTATGTATTCGGTTCCTATTGGCGCGTTCTTAAACTATTTCCATTCGTTTTAATTCTCGGCAGTTGGCAACTACTGTCAACAACTCGACCGTTAACAACTCGACCGTTTGAATAAAATTTTAAACCGCCGTTAAAATGATCTGACGTCTGGTAAATGCAGTGCGATTTCCTCGACATTATTTGTATAGATATCGCTCTCCAATTCGACATTTTCGCGTATATATTGATAGTCGTAAATGCTGACGTTTCGTCACTTTCAAGCGTCTTATCGATCGGATCAGCTATTTGAAAGAGGGGGAGAGAAGCGAAATCGGTCGGGAAATTCATTCGCGCGCGAGTTTCGGATCCAGCTGCTGCCGAGTCGCAGCTGCATTTAAAAGGTAAGTTCGCGGAGAAATTTTTGGGCGGGAGCCGAACGCGCGGTGAAAGTCAAACGACGGCTAATTAAACGATCACTTAATCGCCGTTTCTGGAAGAAATCGGCGGATGTCTCAACGGTAGGAAACGAGCGACAGATGTGCCGTATCGATGTCGGATCGATACACGAAAAAGGTCCGTGTCGTTGCCTGTCGTGTCACATTAATTGCATTTGCCAGAAAAAACAGCTTTGCAACTGTTGTAAGATTTATTTAATATGATTGGTTTATAGGCCCAATTTTTGCACCAATGTTACTTTGTCTTTAAGCGAGGCTTAAAACTCTCACTTTCTCTCTTTAAAACTGAGAGAGACAGAGAGAGAGAGGGAGAGATAAAGAGAGTTTTAAGCCTCGCTTAAAGTCGAGTAATGTTGATGCAATCGGTCTTTACATATTTAATTCCAGTGAGGAATTAAGGACAAGAAGCAATTAAATTAAAGATCTTACAACAATTGCAACTCTGCTTTTTCTACTGAATGCAGGTCATTATTTTTGAATGACGATATTGTTATCAAGCTACATTGGCTACATTTGCAACGTGAATGTAAGTTGCAGCCTGTACCCCAAATTCGACCTAAATTATTTAGGTCCCTCACTGTCAACAGACCTGGGACCGACCAGACCTTGACCAGACTTGGGTAGCGATCTATAACTTTTTCGGAAGCGGAAACGTGACAAAGAAAATTCTTTGTATGCATGTGTGTGTATATATACGAACATACATACACAAAAATTATCCCTTGTCACGTTTCCACTCAAAGGAAAAATTTACATGATTGCTGTTCTGGCTGTAGGTCAGGCTTTGGTTTTTGGTGACTTGATTTGAAATAGGTCGCCTATAACCTGAAATAAATCGACTTACCACCATTTGTTAATCTCAAATTGACATACAGGATGAATCAGAGTCGTTAAACCAACTTTTTATCCTATGAGAATATTATCGATTTCATACCTAATTGAATTATAACGTGTGCAGTCAATTATTTTCTCATAGAGTAAAAAGCTGGTTCAAACTCTGATTCACCCTGTATGTTATTGCTACGGTGATCATATTTTCTTAAAGAAAATAAAGGAAAATAAATTTGAAAATGTTAGAGTTTTATTCCTATATGTTTTTAAACCAGTTTGTGACTATCAAGAATTTGTGCGCTATAAAATTTTATTGGACAGTGTAATCAAATTGTACAGTTTTCTGATAGTTTGAAACTACATGATTCGACTATATTGAAACAAATCTTTAATTTGAAATAATAAAAGGTCCGAAATAATAAAAAATGAAAACAATTATATTGTAGATATAATAAATACGTAAATAAATCTAATTTATAAAAAGAAAAATAATAATTAGAACATTGTACCGCGAATTTTGACACGATTTATAGAAACATAAATGGATCGTCTAGAGCGGATTTTATGGACGAGCTTTCAGTTCGATGCTTCTTGTCAATGACCTTTTACTTTAAACTTTAAACCTAAAGTTCACGCCAATAGTGGAAATTGAGCGTCAATCGAGGATTAGCGGGGTTTTGCTGCTCAGTTCAATTGAGTTTCCGTAGCGTCCGTTCCGCACGAGCTTCTCCGTAACGTTTTGTCTTCATCACAGACTTATATAAGTTTGTGATCTTCGTTACGGTAGCGCGAGCCGGAGACAGCTGACAGCCATGAGTTTCTCAACGAACTTTTAAAACGCGCTGTACTTACGTATACACCCGACAAACTTTAGAACGTGCGCACGTTAAATCGTCAGTTCATCCGCCGCGTTTTTCCGCGAAAACGTGGGTTTTCCCACGCGATGATAGAGATTAACAATAAATACAACTTTTGTTTTCGAATGTCGAGGGAGTGCAATGATGTATCGCGCGATTGTTTAGCAAGCTAATTTGTGCAGTAATGTCTCGCCATAGATTTATAACCTTCGTTTCTAACACGTCGCCACTTTATCGCTGACATGATTGTAAGTTATGGCTATTCACGCCGATTTGCATTTAATTTCTTCTTTTTTCGATATATCTTTCGTTAAAGAGCTACGTACAGCAAATGTCACATGTTGAGAAATTCAAAAGTATGGCAAATATAAGCAATAATATTAATGTTAATAAGTTCTCTGTGGAAAAAATGTAAAGGAAACTATTTTGTTACGATTTAATTCTAGCTAAGAGGATTTTATCATTAGAAAATAATCTGAAGAATCCTTTTCTTTGTCCTTCTATTTTGTTGCAATCGAATGCTCTAATTTATAGTCTTGTTCTTTTTTCGAAGAAAATGCTGAACATTATCCGGTGTACATTATTTGTTTCATTTCAACTTAAACTACATCAATGTATATCAGTTCAGAACTTCCTTTGAAAAAAAACAGAATCTGTATCTGCATATTGTTATTTTAGATTTGTTTTCTATAGCTGAAACTAATGTACACTTTTGGAACTTAGCTTAAATAGATATGTTTAATATTTGGTGGAAACCAGTTTAGTACAGAAATAAAAAATGGATCCTAAAATACATCTAGTATTTTACATTGGAAGTTTTGATCCAAGATTTACTCGATAAATATATATATATAAAACATTAAATTAAATATATCATTTTTTAGCACTGTTAATTAATTTTATCGTTTACTTGCAACGAATTATAGTAGCAATTTACATATGATTGTACATTAATCTATGTATCTCACGTTGTAATTGATGTCTGATGACGCTGTTGAATATCTTTCAGGGAGCTAAATATCGCGATCGTGGAAGAGGTGCCGTAAACATGTCCTCAAGAAACATTTCTTCAGAGCGTCGCTCAAAGTCCATACTCAACAGAAAAAAACCCGTATCCGCAGGAACGTTGCCGCAAAAGACGCGATCTTCGAAGGACGAGGACACTGTAAAAAGCGCGACAAAGTCACGAGGTATTCGCGGGCGGCGGCTTCTTTCGCGGAGAGAAAATAAAATGGTGCGCGACGACGTGAAACACCAGGTTTGCTTGTCCGATGAGACCAGCGTCGTCAGCGCGGGCAACAATGATCCGATTTACATTTTACGGAAAGAGATACACGACTGGAGGGTATCCGGGCAATTAACGGACAGATTTGAGCGTGATTGTCGTCTTATCGAAGACGAAACGGAGAAGAGTTCCGTTCAAGGTAAAAAGTAAATAATAACAATTATATTTAATCTTTACTCGCGTGGTTTTTTTAACGCTATCATGTGGAGTGTTTCAATAAATATAAAGATCGTATATTCCTGATAAGAAAGTTAAATGTACTCACGTTCGCTGCATTAAATGATCAATGGCAGTAGAACTCGGTAATTCGTGAAAAACATCTGGATCTGGTAAATCCTTAACGATTGTTTCATGGTTTTCTGAAAATTATAAAAATTTATTATTAAATGCGCTGACACTCCATATGAGTAATAACGTTAAAAAAAAACACTATATCTTTATTTTCATTGTTTCTCTTTGATGATTTACGAGAAATAAAGATTGATAATATTCCATATATCCTTTAAAGATAAATGCACTTTTTTTAATTGACGAACGAATTTGTTGAACTAAATATAATATATATAAATAGTATACAATTTATTGAGTTTATAAGATGGGGATGTCAATCAGAATCTGGTTATCTCAACTAGAATTATAACAAATTCAATCAGAAAATTCTGATTTGTCCATTTTCAATCAGAATTCCAATTAATTCCAACCAAACTTTTTCCACATAATAACGAAACAATAATAACGACAAACAATAATTTGAAATAAATAATTATTATAATCTATATAATATTTTTTAATTAATACATGATAAATGAAATTTCGAGTCATATAATGTAACTGTTTTGTGGTACATAGAATTATTATAAGTTGTATTCTTTATAATTATTATTTAAGAGTTTTAGCTGAGCTTGAGTTTGACTCGAACTTGAGTTGAAATGTACGAAATTGAATTTACCTATGTTTGTAGTAAAGTTTTTTTACAATTAAATAATTATAATTTAATTTGCGTACCGTTAACCGCGTTGACTCCTATAGCCTTTATACTAATTATAGTTTAAATTTTGAAGAGTCCGAACAGTGGTATTTTAATTGTTAATGTTTTCAAGTCATTTGATTCTAAAGTAAATGTAAAATTATAAAACACATTTAAATTAAAATATGAATTAATGAAATTATTATTAAGAATTTTTTTCATCAAGGATTCCAAGGATTTATCTTACATCAATTTTAAAGAAAACCTCGTTTAATAATAAATTTTTATAATTTTCAGAAAACCGTGAGACAATCGTCAAGGATTTACTAGATCCAGATGTTCTCCACGAATTACCAAGTTCTACTGCCATTGATCATTTAACGCGGCGAACGTGAGTACATTTAACTTTCTTATCGAGAATATGCGATCTTTATATTTATTGAAATTTTATATTTACTTGCACGAAAACACGCACGTGTTTCGTAAAAATGAATTATTATCTTGGAGTTATTATCCTATGTGTTGAAATAATTAAACGCATTTATTTATGATTCTAACAATCATATTTTGTAATACATCGCGAGAAGTAACAGGAAATGACAATCGCAGAATTTGCTCGATTGAGTAATATTATAAAATCCTTTCTTTTTTTGGACACGGTCAGATTTTATTTCGGCAAATATCACGTATGATATCCGGTTATCATCGATGCGTAATTCAATCGATCGGTTACATC